GTTTCTGGAACGTTTACAATCGTTCTATAATCGAACCAATATTCGAATTTTATGTTCGAATTTAATTCGAACAAATTCGAACAAAACATTCGAAATTGAAAGCCACTTTCAACCACTTTCAGCCTCATATCTCCCGCACCCTTATAGCTATCGAGACGCAACGACCATAGTGCACGAATGGAGACTTGGGGCTACTACCACATACAAACACCATTCACGTGCAATGTGCAGTTTTGGCTGAAAAGTGAAATATAGGGACACACACGTCCATTTATATATATATATATATATATATAGATTGTATTGATGTAAGCACTTTCTGTTTCCAAGGTTATATTTTATAACGTCAGATATGTATTTTATTCTTTTGAGTAATTTTAATAGCAAGTTAATTTATTTCAAAGAATTGAAAAGAAACGGAGTAAAAAAAAGGTAGTAAATATAACCAATCATTTTAAAAATTACTTTATTAAATTAACATACTAAAAAAAGTCTTTCTCATTAATTATTTGTCATCTATAAATGTTCCATTTTTTATATAAAAGCAGATATTGCAGACATTTAAATTTGTAGATTTAAAAGCATTTCTTCAGTGTTTGAATTATATTTCTTGAACTTTAACTTGACAGTTTCTTTACAGATGCAATTTATAATGCACAAACTTTATAATGTTTAAATCTATAAAGCAAAAATATTGTTTCTGTTAATTTAAATGGGAAGATTGTAATGTATTCATAAATCTTCATATATGCATCTTTTTGTTAAAAGTCATTATCATTAACAATGGTAAAGTAGTTTAAAAACCTACTTAATAGTTAGTAATTATAATGTGCCTATATTGAAAAACATATCTTTGGATTATTGTTATCTTTAAATAATAATGATCTAAAGAATTGTATACAGTATATATATATATATATAAAGCATACTTTCTACAAGTATGTGAAAATAAGTAAATTGAAGAAGAGAAATACGAGTGAATGGAGACTAAGTAATTCTATATTTCACATTGGCAGCATATAATGTGCTATCTACTATCATTTTCTATCTATAACCTTCAGATTATCTATGTTTTAAAGTCAATTTAAAAGCAGGTTCCAGCTAGGTGTTATAGAAACTTTTGTGGGTTATATGCAAGAAATTATGGTAGTTTCGTATGATCATTTCAGAGAATATTTGTCTTTCAAAGTAAAATATTGATCCATAGAATGAAGAAATGACATTATTATTGTATTATGTCAAAATTCCGTGCAACTTGATGCAGAATATGGAATTCTGTATATTTAAAATCATTTTTAAATATACAGAATTTACATGTTTTATTTCAAAATATTTATCATAAAAATTTTATATGTAAGAGTTTTATATGTAATATTTTAAAGTATTTATATTAATTTTCTTTTAAAATATGTTTATTTTAATTTTTAAAATTTATTTTTATAGGTAATTGTTTTGGCATTAATGGTTATACATTTATTTGGTTTGATGGGGATTCTTGGTATTCGCTTAAGTGCTATTCCAGCTGTAATTCTGATAGTAGCTGTTGGCATTGGAGTGGAATTTACAACTCACTTTACCATGGTAAATTAATCTAGTTTATAGGTGTATAATAAATTATATAATAAAAATAATACAACTTTTAATATATATATTTTAGGATAAATCAAACTCCAAAAAAATTTGCCTACTTTGAAATTACACATTTTATAAAAAATTATTAAAAATGTTTGAAAACAACTATAACAAATTAAATCATTTGGTGATCTATACTTGAAATGTTCAATTTTTTTTATAATATATTGTAAAATTTAAACCTTTAAATCATTAAATGACAAAGATAAAATATTTTTAAACATGGTACAGAGCAATATTAAACCCAATCATTACCAGTGGTACATTTAAAAATATGATGCCCCTAGGCTCACAACATGCAGTCACTCTCCAAATTAATATGGTTACTTTTGCACTGAATATTCTATTTATAATTTTAATTCTGCAATACTTTTTAGATTTTTTAACATTGAAATTGTGAAAAACAAATTTTGTTCCTATTTAAGCTTAATTTGTATTAATTCCTTTATGGATTGTTTCTACATAAAATTATATTTTCATTTTGTTATTATTATTTTGAATTTTTGTGCCTCCAAACCATTAATGGCCTGGACCTAATTGGTTTAATAGGAAATGCATCCTAGCCCATTACCCACATTTAATCTAAAAATACATAAACTTTGACTAGAATATTTTTTTAAATAAAAATATGTTTTAATGATATTTTATATTCTTTATCTAAACTTAGTTTTATTCAATAAATATGATAATGCTAAAAATCACTCATAATCTCTAACAGATGTTTATTAATAGTATGTATATGACTATCAATTAGGAATGAAAAGCCTTAATATAGAAGTGATGTAGCTAGTATCACACTTTGGAACAAAGCAGTAAAAATTACCATTTTCTGAAAGTATGGATCCATGCAATCCAATTGGTAGAATTACACCATAATGTTTGATTCTTCCTAGCTCTTTTTTCAATAAGTGCAGCATGGGATTAGTTTTTAGGCCTTTGTTTTAAAACTTAAAAATTGTTACTTTTAATGCTGTTCCATTAATGTTTGATCTAAACATAAGTAATTTTTAAATCATGAATAATACATTATTTAAAGATTAATATATTTAACAATAGATGATCTGCCTGTATAATTTTTATCATCATATACCAGGTATCGATAAAAATGTACTGTATATGTATACATAGATTGCCTTAATATATGCATTAAAACATGTTTTAAATACATAACTTTTCATTATATTAATTTATTCTTAAATATACTCATTTATTTAACTATATTTTTTTTTTAGGGATTTCTAACTAGCGTTGGAAGTAGAAATAAACGGATTGCTATGGCATTAGGACATATGTTTGCACCTGTTGTTCATGGTGCAATGTCTACACTTTTGGGAGTTATTATGCTTGCTTTTTCAGAATTTGATTTCATAATAAGGTAATGTTTTAAAATAAAATTTATTCACTGGATAGAATAAAAGCATTATATATTATAGATCTTATTTTTATTTTGATATTTCAGGTATTTCTTTTATGTGCTGTTAGCATTAGTTGTTATTGGGTTATTCAGTGGTTTGATGTTCTTACCTGTGATACTTTCTATTGCTGGACCTCCAGGAGAGGTAAAAATCATTTTTTAAAAATATTTATCAATAGTAATAATAATTTAAACATTTGATTTTCTTATTTTCAAATTATTCTAAAATAGGTTGTACCTCATGATAATTCAGATCGAATTCCTACTCCATCACCAGAACCACCACCACACCATAGAATCCAAGGAGGACGCTATTTCAGCAAACGTTGTTATCCTGGAATGAATTCAGAAATATCATTAACAACAATTACTGAAGAACCACCTTCATTTCAATCATCCCACGAAATTGTAGTTGAACCAGAAGTGATTGTAGAAACTACAACAATTACAAATCAATCTGTAACTCCAAATTCATGCTCAAATTCTTCTAAAAATATTGATGATGTAAGTTTCATTTTTAAAAAATCTTAGTGAAATTAATTGAAAAAAATAATTGAAATTTTTGAATAAACATAGAAATAACATTTACTTTTAATTAAAGATAAAATTATTTATTAAAGTACAACAATAGTTTCATTCTGTAAAATCTAATAAGTTGCTTATTCATCATATAAAATGTCTTGTCTTTACAAATAGTACAATAGTAAGAATCTAAATTAATTTTTCTTTCATATTTGTAAGTTAAAATCTTGATTTCCAATTTTTATATTGATTAAAATACATCTAAATGTTTTAATTTTTCTGCTATAGTTATAGTGAAATCTTGAAATATAAGCAGTGCTTACAAGTAAAAACTGTCTTTTTTGGGTTAATATATCTAATGTTTAGCCATGTAATAATATGGAGAATTGCAAATTCAAATATAACTAATTACATACTATACATATTTAATCAAAAAAGGTTTCATCTGAATAATAAAATAATATTCATGAGTACACAAACTTTCTATCATTTTCATTAGATTCCTCACTGATTGTCAGCCATTATATAGTCCAGTTAATTTTAATACAGCTTTATAGGAATTTTTATGGTTACAGATTTGGATCCAAAAACAAATTTATGATTAATAAATCTGCAATTATATAGTTATGAATATTCCTAATAAATAAGATTCAAATCAATGTATAAAATTTTATTTTCATAATATTATTACATAATTTTTTAAAATAAAATTAAAATTTCTCATTTTTAATACAGGAAAATGCAATTAACGAAAAAAGAGAAGCTGAACCACAAGAATCAATATTAAATCAAAGTAAATCTACAACAAATTCAAGTAATTCAAAGAATACAGCAGTAACAACAACGCGAGTTACAGCAACTGCTAAAGTTAAAGTAGAAGTGCATACTCCTCTTCCAGGTTAGAATGTTATTAGTATAACATTTCAGATGAATTTGGAGAAAAGAGAGTTTAAAAATATTAATAATTAAAGATTTTTAATAGAAACATCTTTTTTCACAAGATTATTATTGATTAATGACTATAATATATATTAACTTGGCTAGATTTAAATATTAATTTTAAATATTTTAAATCTGGCTAAGTTCTTATTTTAAAATTTTATATAAACATATAAACCATTCTATTTGGTATTTAATTTAATTAATAAAAAATGCAGTTAAATATGAAAACATTGATACAATAGTCTTATTTTATGCAGGGATTGTATGTCAACATATACCACAAAATAAAATCCCTCATAAATTTGTGCTCTATTCCAGGTAGTCCCAGATAATTACCTAGACATTAGGAGAACCTTTACAATTAGCAGAAAACCATTAAAACATGTTTAAAATATCTTACTTGCATGTTTACTACAATGAATAACATTTTAGTTCAATGTTTCTGAATATACAGAGAAAAATTTTATTATACCATGTGGAGTACACTACAAGACAAGAACATCTAAACCAGGATATTTACCACAGTAATTCTATTTTGTGTTGTTTTCAATTGCTTAATCTTCAACTTGAAGACAATACAGCATAGTGTAGAACCATGTTGCACCTTATTTTATCAAAAAATTCAATAATTCTTCATGTTCAGAATGTCAGAAGCTGTAGAAGCAAAGTTTGCTGACTTAAGTGTCAGATTCAATGTAATCATAGTGGTTAACTTAACCATTTTCCATACATGAAAACATAAATTTGTGTTTATCAGTTCTACATAAAACAAGACCATACTGAACTAACAAAGAATATAAATAATATATTAAATTATATAATAATTTATATAAGACTCTCTCATACAAATCTTTATTGAAAGTAAATACAATTATTCAAATTTGATAATAATTATAAAATTTTTAAAACAGGTTCAACAGAAAGACAACTCACTTTGAAACATACAAGATGGAGAGATGAAAATACTACTTCTAAAAGTGATGAAACTTCAATTTAAATTTAAAATTCTAAGTCAAGTAAGTTATTATTTAATTTATTTTCTCATACAATCTAAGTAAAATTTATTTATAAAAAATTAAATATATGATTTTAATTTCAGAAATTGTCAATACCAGGGTATATTGTATTGAAGTTTTACATTAACTTATGCTGCACAGAATGTAAATTTTGTAAAATATTGTACAAATATATAACAAAAAGTAATATGAAATACATCTTTATTAATTGGATATATTCTGCTTAATTGAAAACTAAGTCAACTAACATCACAAGAAGTATACAACACAAAATGAACTGGAAGTCATGCCTGATGCTAGTCTTTGCTTCTTTTTCAAAATAAACAGGAACCATCCAACAAAATTTTTGCTCAAAAGAAAGTGAACAATTAAATTAATTTTTGCTCAAAAATTTTTCAACTTTTATTTCTGAAAGCTCAGGAGTTGGAATATGTTCAAAATTACACTTTTTGATAATATATTATAGATAAAATGTGACCAGGTGGACAGTTAATTTTCTTAACTAGTACAAAAATTGTTTTGATCAACTTTTTTTTTTTACCTTTCCAGTATGTAATGTAAATGAGTTGTTTACTTAATAGATAAATATTTATTTATTTTTGTAAGATATTTGTTGGAAATTTCTTATCCAAAGATGTAAAATATAAAATATATATAAAATAAATACATAAAATCATTTTTTTGTAAAGCTTATTGTTGTTTTTATTGTAAATGAAAAAATGGGCTTAAAAAGAGAATATTAATTATTTCATGAAATGGACAAAACACAAATCAATTGTCATCTATGGATATTATTAGACTATAGATCTATATAAAAACACAAACAAAACGATAGTTAACAAAGATATTTTTCTTTTTTAAATAAACACTCCGATTTAATCCTTTTAACTCATTTTTGTTTCATATACATTTGTTGCAAACTGACTTACTGTATATAGTTCGCAATTATCGACGATCAAATTAAAATATAATCATAATTTGAGGAATGTTCACATTGAATGAAGTGTATTTGATTGAAGCCCAAAGACATGAATATTCGATTCAGGATACTAAAATTTATCATGGACAGTACAGATGGGAATGTCATTCATTTTTCATCACGCCGATCGATCCTGTTACGGATCACATACACTGTACAGTATTTCAAATACTGTATTTATAATGTTTTGGATTGATAGAATAAGACAACATTTGGGCGATCTTCTACGGGGGTTCTCCCGAGAGGACTATGGAAAAAACTGGTCTGTGTTTACGTGTTAGATAAGTGAAGGAAATTCGAAAAACTCGAATCCGTTGGCGAGGTGCGAATTTGTTACCATTATTCAGTGGTTTATCAGAGAAATTCAGCCAGCTATATTACGTGCTAGTGCCTTGTGTCAATAAATCTACTGTAAATTAGTTCAAAAATTATAGTTTTTCATAAGTATACATATATCATATACAAGTTATTGTGAATTAATGTCTTGCATTCACACTTAGCGCCTTTAGGGCGGACTTTAAAATAGTTAAAGAACGCTGGAAAACGGTTTTCAACACATACATATGCTCCATAATTATTGATTTTTAATTATTAATTTGAAATCTAAAGTACTACCCCATTTATTTTAGTAATATAGACGCGAAGTTAGTCAGCAGAAAAGAAAGATTAAAGTAACTGAACTTTTTTATCTTTCAGAAATGTATAAAATAGCCTATGACTTTAAGGTCAGTTAAAAATTAGTTAACAGCTAAAGAAGACCAAGCTGGTCTTTAAAACTGAAAAATTACTGATTTAAAATTATATTTAGCGACTATTATATTTTTTTCCGCGTATTCCCTGAAAGTGTTTTGTGTATCCTAGAATTACGCATATATTGAGTTAGAAAATGCTATCTTAGCGCTAATTCTATAAGCGAAAAGCATAAATTAATATATTTTCGTTTAATTACACATAAATACTTGTATAAAAATCACACGTTATGTACGAATCACTTAAGTAAATATATAGTGTATATTTTTAAAATTAATTTATGATTTTTTTATAGCCTACGCAAGAACAAAAAAATGTTTAATTCATTCATTATTCCTGTAATATCATCTATACATAAAATGCTTACTTGCTAATGAATTGAAAAATATTTAAAGCATATACATAAAAAAAGGATTATTATTAATTTTAGTTTTATTATTTTTGATAAATGAATTCACCAGAATATTCAGTTTTAAAAATTCGGAGCTGGTTCCTGATGAGTGACATTATTCATCTTCATTTTGCAATAACCGATTAAGAAGTTCTAGATAAAATGCTGGGCTGTCGTATTAAATCATTCCCTTTAATTCTATGATTTATCTCAGGCAGACATTTCTTATTCTGTAAATCGACACTAAAAAGACGGTTTGAGAATACAGAGGACATTAATGTCATCAAGAGAAAGGTACTGTAGCACACGATAAATTTAAATAACTTTAAAAAAATATTGTCAGCAACTCTATGAATGAACGCAAAATTGCAGTGGAATCTTGAAAATATTAGAGGAGAAGGTGGTGTTATGGAATCCCAATTACATTTTAGTGAATTGTAAACAAGGTATCATAACTACACCCACATTTTTTGTGCGAAAAGTACTGGTAACTATTAAACTAAATGTTCCTAATTGGATTTTTTCGTTAGTGTAACTATTTAAATATGTTTAAATAAGTATGGTTTATGAAGACTTTTGTACAAAAAGTCAGAAAGTAGGCTTAGAGAAAATCGGGTGGTAATATGGAACCTTACTGTATATTTTCAAAAAATGCTTTAATGTAGCCAAAAACAAATAGGAAAGTACAAAGAATGTTAAATAATTACAAAATCATTTACTCCAATGTATTTTAACGCAAAAATGATTTAATACTGTAATAATAATAATAAAGAAATGTACAAAGAAGAAGCTAATCATTTACAAAAATCACAAATATAATGCTCCGTTTCAACATCAGCACAATCTTTATGTGCCCACATAGCGCACATTAGGCATTGCACCCACACCTTCCCCATGACTATCATCTGCAAACAACCCATCACAAAACAGACAAGCAGTGTCATCTCTAAAACCAGGTGTCTCCTCGTCAGGCAAGTCAAAAGGAGAGATATCAATAGAGTCATCATCACTTCAATATTGGCACAAGAACAGTGTGCCCATTTATCACAACTGCTACATTTATTGTTATTTTTCAAATAAATAAACATAAAAGTTTGAACTTACTTGTAGACTATTTACTTTACCAGACGATACTGTCACTTCGCGCATGCTCAGTTTCGCTATTTTGTAAGCAGACGATATTTTTTTTCATGAAAAAAAAATTTTATTTCGATTGTTATCTTACATTTTATTTCTTGTTAAGATAGTATTTAAATTAAAAAAATGTTTTCATAAATAAAATAAAACGTAAAAACATTATTTTATGGTTTGAATTTGTTGGTAATACTGAACACCAGGGGAGTTGGGTTCCATATTAAAAGCACCAATGGGGTCCATATTTCACGCATCTCCATCTTGGGTTAACTTAATTCCTGTCGGCACCAAACTTTAAAAACGTGAAAATCACACAGATTAATATGTACCCCTAAGTCTCTGGAACGGAATACATGCACCAGTGAACCTACAACTACACGATTTATATTTTAAAAATAATTAAATTCACTTAGCATTCAAAACTTGCGAATTTTGAAAAAAAAAAAAAAAAAATTGCTGATTAAATACAGAAAACTGTTTAACTGAAGTAAAACGGGTTTTCCCCTTGCTATGGATGTCTGCCTAGTTCAGTTCAGCTACATTCCGCTACAGTTCGCCTTTATTATCAGTTCGAAATGGGGTGGTTCCATAATACCCGCAGTGTTCCATACGGTATTATGGAACTCTACTTTAAAGTGTTAAATTTGTTTTGCTCTATAATATATCATTTCCGTTAAATTCAGATAGTTTTGAAACTTTATTCCTTGTATATTTACGGAAACTGTTGATATACAAATTTAGATAGTTATATAAAATAAGATTTGAATTAATAATACTTGTCAATTAATGTCAATTATACTTGAGTCTATTTATTAAAAATCTTTCAACAAAGTGGAAATCTTCCATTTAAAAAGCAAATAAGTTTTCTAGCTAAAGGAAACTGAAGAGGAATGTTTTAAGAATCGTGGAGGGACATTCGAAATGCACTTTTCTATAACCAGATTGCTCAAACACGGATTACATTGTTAATTTTAACTAGGAAAACTTTTGTTTTTTAAATGGGAGTTTTCTTGCCTTATTGAAAGATTTTTAATAAACCAGCAATTATTTATTGTGAAAATATCTCCACCTGAAATTAGTAGTGTCTTGCCCCTGTACATCATACTTTCTTGCTAGCAACAGAGTCATGCGGATCATCTATGTGACTGTTTTTAGGGAAAAAATTTAAAATTAATATAACGAAACTTTGGATTCAAACCATAAGTTCGTACTGTATATAGTTAATCGGGACCTCCTGCCCCTAAGATTTCCATATCTGATCTCAATTATCATCTATCTAACTTCATTCTCGAGATTAAGGAAGGACAGACAGGCAGGCTTATGACAGGGAATTTATATTTTATTGGTCTACAATTTTTTAAAATTGCAGCCCAATAAACTCAAGTATAATTGAGATTGCATTATTTATTATAATTATTTCTTAATTAGTCTATAATTAAGAAAATCGTCGCAAGAAAGATTAGAATAAGATTTAAATGGTGTTATCTTTAGTTGTTAAATTAAAATAACTTTTAAACTTCCAAAAGTAATTCCAATTTGAATGAATTTTTAAATAATTAAATATTATTAGAATAGTTTTATTAATTCAAAAGAATGCCACAATGGCACAGAGTACTTAGGTATAATCTCGTATGTGTTCAAATTGCTGGCCTTCATTATTTATACACCCTTGTAGTTTACTCATTATACTCAAGCTTTGGAACAGAGTTCTATACAGCGGCGGCCTTATCCATTGCGAGGCTCTGGGCGGCAGATCTTTGCAAGGCCCTGGGCGGCAGATCTTTGCGCGGCCCTTGTCCTTTGTGCAAAGTATGTGAATTGAAATAATAGGCACTTATTAATATTAATATATACTGTACTAAAGAGATATTTTACATATTTCATTTGTTCAAAAAACAAAAGGCTAAAGCAGCGGCGGCCTTATCCATTGCGAGGCTCTGGGCGGCAGATCTTTGCAAGGCCCTGGGCGGCAGATTTTTGCGAGGCCCTTGTCTTTTGTGCAAAGTATGTGAATTGAAACAGTATATATTAATATTAAAACTTTTTTTTTACTAAAGAGATATTTTACATATTTCATTTGTTCAAAAAACAAAAGGCTAAAGCAGCGGCGGCCTTATCCATTGCGAGGCCCTGGGCGGCAGATCTTTGCGAGGCCCTGGGCGGCAGATTTTTGCGAGGCCCTTGTCTTTTGTGCAAAGTATGTGAATTGAAATAGTAGGCAAAGTATGTGAATTGAAACAGTATATATTAATATTNTATCTATATATATATTTTTTTTAGAGGCTTAGGAATAAATGTACAGTGGACAAATCTTAATCCTCAATTACTAGTAGAAGCTATGAAAAATTTTGGAAAATATGTTTCTGTATTCCCATTTGATACTCTAGAAGATTTCATGATTAGAGTAAGTATATTAATATATCAAAATAAATTAATTTAGTTTATTAGTTTAAGTATATGATTACGATAACTTTATGTTCAAGTAAAATGAATGAAATAGTCTCAATATTTTAACAAATTTAAACCATAGATTGAATAACTATATGTCTGTTTAATTTATGTATTTTTGAATTATTTAAGTTAATTTTTAAATACGAATAATAGATGAAGATAGGATTTTTCAAAAATGTTAATGCTTAACTTAAACAAATACCCTTTACAGTTAGTAAATTGTGTTTATCAATTTTTATAAAATAAATTAAAAGAATGAATGTGAAAATTAAATATATTTTAGCTTTTGAATTTAAAATGATTTTTCAGGCAGGAATAACAACAGCATATCAAGAGAAACCTTGTTTGGATCCAACTGATGAACAATGCCCTGAAACATCACCTAATAAACATTCTCAACAGGTCTTCATTTGATTCATTTTATTAAAGTTAATATTTATATAAATATGTACAAATCAATAATTTTATAATTTTATTTTTATAGATACCAGATATAGGAGGAGAATTAACAGGTGGCTGTTATGGTTTTGCTACTAGATATATGCAGTGGCCTGAAAATCTTATTGTTGGTGGAATAACAAGAAATAGAACAGGTCACATAATAAAGTAAGTTTACTTAAAAGAATTATTGAAGTATTAATTTTAAAAAATTCAATTAACATCCAAAATACAGTAATTATAAAGTGCTAAAAATGATTTATTATTATTGTTTAAAAGGGCAGAAGCATTGCAAACTGTGGTTCAACTAATGGCTGAAAAAGAAATGTATGAATTCTGGCAAGATACTTATAAAGTACATAATATAGACTGGACTCCAGACAAAGCTAAAATGGTTTTAGAAACATGGCAAAGGAAATTCACAGAGGTAATATTACATTCATTTACTACAATAAAAAAATAACTATCTTAAAAATATAAAAATTAAAATATTTTATTAGTGTTTAAATTATTTTATACTCATTCATCTTTTCCACTTTTATAACTGGGCAATCACTTTTAACATAACTAACTTTTCAAATTTCCTTGTCTCTCTCCTAGGCCCTGCCTTGCCAAATTTTCCCTGTTTTGCATGCCAAATCTTCTTCACTATTCAAGAAATGTGTTTAACATACAGGTATGATAAAGAATATATGTAATTGAAAAGTGCAGATTTAAAAATTTTCTTGAAATAACTACAGTTTGTAACTAATCTTTAGCAGTTTTTAAATATCAGTTCAATTTTAAATTTTGATTTCAATTTTTTAATTAACAGGCAGTGCTAAAACAAGCTACGAATGCTAATAATACAAAAAATCATAATATAAATGCATTCTCGTCAACATCTCTTACTGATATCATGCAAGACTTCTCAGAAGTTAGTGTTACAAGACTTGCACTTGGATATATTTTAATGGTAATTGAAATTATTATATTAATTTCATCATAAAATGTTCAATTAAAATTTAAATTAGTTATTTTTTTGTAGTTGGTATATGCTTGTGTTTCATTACTTCAATGGACAGATGCAGTAAAATCACAGAGTGGGATTGGTATTGCTGGAGTTTTACTTGTAGCTATAACAGTAGCTGCAGGATTGGGTTTTTGTGCAATTATTGGTATCTCTTTTAATGCATCTACCACACAGGTAAAAAATCAAATACATTAATTAATTTTTATTTGACATTTTAAATATTATTCTACAAGTATAGCTATTCTTAATTTCAGATTGTTCCTTTCCTTGCATTAGGATTAGGAGTTGATGATATGTTCTTACTGGCTCATACTTATGGAGAGAATGCCAACATTCATATATCAGCAGAAGTATGTAACATAAAATTATTTAATTCATGCCAATAAAGAAATATATTTAGTTTCGCTAATCAATATATTGTGTTAATTAGGAGCAAACTGGACAGTGTTTAAAACAAACAGGAGTCAGTGTGTTATTAACATCATTTAGTAACATGTGTGCATTCTTTGCAGCAGCAATCATTCCAATACCAGCTCTAAGAGCATTTGCATTGCAAGCTGCCATCCTAGTCATTTTCAATGTTGCAGCAATGCTATTGATATTTCCAGCAATAGTTAGCTTGGATTTGAGAAGAAGAAGAAATAATAAAATGGATATCTTTTGCTGCTTCAATGGGTAATTTTTCTTTTTAGCAGTTTAATATCTAAACTTAAGATCAATTTTATACTAATAGTGGAATATACAATATTTAGTTTGCAATTTTTTATTTTTTAGACATAATCAAATTTCTCCAATAAAAACTTCTGATCGGAAAAAAGATTTAATTTATAATAATACTCAAATACATCAAATTGTTACACATGCGCTTCCACCTGATCTTAGTCATGCTATAACTGTTCTGGCTCCTCCCATGCCTAAACAACCCATTACTTGCTGGACAGAAAATTCTGGTTAGTTAATTTTTAAATTATTTTATTTAAAATTATTACCAAATATTTATTTATTCTTTCTATAAAGTAGCTTCATCAATTGAAAATCTATCAACAACAAATTCTACATCTACAAAAGAACTTATTGCTGTAAAATTAAAACAATCTTTAAAAGAACGTGTCAGTTATCTTTGTTTTCATGCTCAGCAGGATTCTTGGTCTTTAGCATGGTTTGCAACTCATATTTATGCACCATTTTTACAAAAGACATCAACAAAGGTATTTAATTTTATAATTTATATTTCTTTAATGTACTGTATTTAGAATGAAAATATAATAGTCTCTCATTTCTCTTTCTTATAGGTTTTGACTATAGTCCTGTTTTTGATTGCAGTAATAGCAAGTATTTGGGGAATGTTATCTGTTGATGATGGTTTAGATTTAACTGATATTGTACCACGAAATACAAATGAATACAAATTTCTAAGTGCTCAAAGTAAATATTTTGGATTTTTCAATATGTTTGCTATAACTCAAGGAAATTTTGAATATCCAACCAATCAAAAATTGTTATATGAATACCATGAAGCATTTACAAGAATAGACAAAATAATTAAAAATGATGACGGAGGTCTTCCTGATTTTTGGCTAGCAATATTCCGAGACTGGCTATCTGGTAATTCTAATTATCGTTTAATTTAATCTAGCTAATTTAATGTATAATTATAATTTAATTTAATATAATTCAGTGTAATTTAATTAACATTTACTAACTTAATCTAATGTATAATTAATCTATTAAAGCTTTCAATTCTGAAACACCTGGTATAATTTGATAAATTGCAAAATCCATCATATATATTAATTTGATATTAATAACTTCTTATGATTTAATATCACTTTCAATTATATTAGGTTTTTTTACATATTTTTCTTTTCTGTCTATTGTTTTATTTATCTTATTCAAAAAATATGATTTCAAAAATTTTCTGCAGTTTGCTTTTGAAATTTTTAATTAAATTATTAAAACAGAAAAAAAATTCATTGTTTAGGTCTTCAAAAAGTTTTTGATAGAGATTGGAAGAGAGGATGTATTACACAAGAAAAATGGTATCCCAATGCTTCTGATGAAGGAATTTTAGCGTATAAATTATTAGTGCAAACTGGACGTGTAGATAATCCCATAGATAAATCATTGGTAAGTTAAATAAACTTCAGAAAATTATTCCATTTTATTTTAATATCTATAAAAATATTAAGAAAAAATTTTGCAATTGAGATTTGTTATTTATTATTATTTGTTTTGAGTGTAATTAAAATATAAATTATTTCTCAATGTCTGTAAAGCAATCTTGAATATTTTACTTCAGATTGACAAAGAAAAAATAATTATCTTAAATAATGAAAAATGAATTACAATGCTTTAATATCAATCACATAGATGACAGTAACATTTTATTTGCAGGTAACAACTGTGAGATTGGTGGATTCTGAAGGAATTATTAATCCTAAAGCATTTTATAACTATCTTACTGCATGGGTATCCAATGATGTTCTAGCATATTCAGCATCTCAAGCCAATTTTAAACCAGAGCCAAGACAATGGATTCATGTAGCTCAAGATGTAGATTTGAAGATTCCTAAATCTCAGGCATTAGTTTATACACAACTTCCATTTTATCTTACAAATATGAAAACAACTAGTGTAATTACAAGTACAATTCAAGCAATTCGAGCTATCTGCACTAAGTTTGAAAAAAATGGACTTCCAAATTTTCCAACTGGAATACCGTTTACGTACTGGGAACAATACATAGGCTTACGTTTTCATCTTACCATGTCCCTTCTTTGTGTATTTGTTGCTATCTTCTTAGCTGTTAGCTTAGTATTACTTAATCCATGGGCTGCATTTATTATGGTAAGTTCAAATCTTAAAAACAATAATTTATTATAACATTTTTACTTATA